GGGTTGTTATTGGATTTTGCTGAATTTCTTTGCATAACTATTTATCATGTGCCAGTGAATTTGTGTTTCTAATTAGTGAGTTGCTATATTTATGGTTCGTTTTTTTCTTCTTCATTGAAGATGGATAATTTTGCAATATAGACTTCTGTCCTGAAAGATTCTGGGGCAAAAAAAATGCTTATACTCCTTGTATTCATCTTTCAACATATGCATTTAGTTTAAGATGCCAGTTTTACGCTTGTAAATTTCATGGTTAGTTGTAATTCCTTTAGCTTCTCAAGTATTTGCTTTGTGGTAATGTGGTTTGCTGGCGGCTGCTTTAGTTGATTTGGTGTCATTCTGGTCTCACAAACAAGCGAAAGAGTTCGATACCTTTATGCCAGATTATTACACTGTCGTCGTTGCTGATATTGCCTCTTGAAATTTCAGCATGATCATTATGTTGTGGCAAATTCTTAATGGTCAAGGGTGTTTATATTGATGAACTAATGTGCAAATGCTTGAAAAGCCCAAGAAACCATAATGAAGTCTTTAGCGGCAGGTTGAAACGATTTACCTGAGTAATTTTACTTTGGGTGCCCCGGGGGGGGGGGGTGATTGAGTCATGCTATTAAAACTGATATATATATATATGTGTGTGTGTGTGTGTGTGTGTGTGACTTTCATCTTTGGGTATTTTACCCGTGTTGAATTTTCTTTTATTGTACCAACATTTTTAGATATTTAACAGCTCAAATGGGCGCCGAGTAGTACCATAAGGCATTACGTGCATTTACTTTCGTCCTATTTCTACCGTATGTGGACATATAGGTAGATACATATTTACATAATGCAATTATGGATGTCTATGTGTAACTATATTTTCCTCAAGTATGATATGTAATGCGTATATCAAGGAAATCAGAAGGATGCTTGGTAGTTATGAGGCCCCTTGTGAGGATAATGGAGGTTCAAACAATTCTAGGTACATATACAAAGGAGTTATAAATGGCTTTGGAGTAATGGTACAACCTATTTCAGGATAACAGTTTCTTTTACTAATGGTTTCAGCATTGTAAATCAACTGAAAATGGGTTACTGATTAGCTATTAGTTGATGATTGAGTCCTGTTTATTTTCTATAAGTTAGTATTCTTCCTTCTTCGACTTATTTGGAATTAGTGCTGAAAGCAAGGCCTTTGAGCTGTGGTTAGAGTCTTGCGACGGAGGCCCTCTGACTAGTACTAAAAATTAGTCGATTAATTAGAAAGGTCAAGTATACGCTGCCCCTTGAGAAGGGTGTGGCAATGCATGCTTATCGTATTGTTGTTCTTTACTCAACTTTGGGAATAGTTTCCTTCTCGAGTTGCAAAAGAAGAGAAGTTTCTTTTGCTAAGATCCCATTCTCTCTCCTTACAAGATTAGTGATAAGGAGGCTAGTCTTTTGCTCTTTTGATTGAGAAAAGCGGTTTTCTATTGCACATAGAATCCATTTGTTTGGAAAAACATGAAGCAGCTATGTCCAGCATGATAGTGACTTTTGACTTTAAGACGAAAAGTTGGCAATTACAACATTTTGCAAGGGTTTGTTAGATTCTTTCATGAATTCGGTATAAGAAACATTAAGATTGAATTGAATCTGTGCTAACTTCTTTCTTGTATATATGTTCCATCAGATTTGGAGGATACAAGAGTAAGGAGTTTTTTCTTCCCCTCTCTTGCCCATGTTTTTGTGCCCATTTAACTGTACTATCTCCCATATTTCAGTTCACCGGAAAAAGAGTCGGCATTATTGGGCTTGGCAGGATCGGCATGGCAATTGCAAAGAGAGCTGAAGCATTTAGCTGCCCTATTAGTTACCATTCTAGGACAGAGATACCAGAAACCAAATACAAATATTATCCAAGTGTTGTGGAACTGGCTGCCAATTGTGATATCTTGGTTGTTGCTTGTTCACTGACTGCAGAAACCAGACACATTGTTGACAGGAAGGTGATCGATGCTTTAGGTGTAAAGGGTGTGCTCATCAATATTGGGAGAGGCCCTCATGTGGATGAACCTGAGCTGGTTTCCGCATTGGTTGAGCGCCGGTTAGGAGGTGCTGGAATTGATGTGTTTGAACACGAACCTGAAGTACCCGAAGAGCTTTTTGGGCTCGACAATGTGGTGCTCTTACCTCATGTGGGAAGCGGCACGGAAGAAACCCGTAAAGACATGGCTGATCTCGTGCTTGGGAACTTGGAGGCACACTTTCTGAACAAACCATTATTGACGCCTGTGGTTTAGTGGTGATTCTATCGTTTTTATATATATATATATATATATATATATTTTCATGATGTTTAGGACATTGTATCCTGGAAATAAATATGCAGGACTGTTAAAACCTTCTTCATTTGCTGTTTCAACTAGAAAGAATCCAGCCATTCATGTCCCCTGAAGTATCATTTAAGTACTCATGGATAAAATCTCTCTTATGTATATTCTAACATGTTTCAAATATGTTTTTTTTTTTACATATTTAAAGAATGATTTTTTTCTACGAATGCATATGTCAAGTATATCTCCAAATAAATGTAGACGTTTAAAAAGAAGAAAAGAAAGAATGGAAGTAATTTGGTTTGGATTCATTTCAAAATATGAGGCATCGGAAAACGTCTATGCGGATCACATGAGTGCTCATATTATTTTTTAAAATAAACATAATTTTAATTATTATCTTAATTTATTATTAATAATTAATGTATTATAATAAAAAATATAAAAAAGTTTATGATGTGATCTCGGCTATGCACCTTACATTATTTTCTGTAATCTCTCTGAGACCGTTTGATCGAGGCAAGTTGTTTACATTCGAGAAGCTTCAAGAAGATTATTTGAGCTTAATCTGGGAATTTCAAGTTTAGATTTTTGAAAGCCTTTTTCAATCCAAAAGAAGAACCTCCACCATCATATTCAAGGCTGGGACGTGAAGAAGGAACAACCAAGTTTAAGGGAAGATTTTATCTTTTACTTGCATGAATTTGCATGAGTGTTAATAAATTTGCATGACATTAAGTTGCATAAATAAATAATCATACTACTTCATTTAAGCATGAGTTCATTTAAGCATGCATTGCATTTAAAGCATCTATTTCATTTAATAAAGTTAGTTCATTAATTAAACTAGTTCATAAATCAAACTAGTTCATTTATTAAACTAACTCTTAATTGTTTCATGCATGTTTTCAATTAAATATTGAATAAATTTCACCTTTGTGTTTAAGTGTAAGAGGAAAGCTGAACAATCTCAACAGATGTAAGAATATCAGTCAGAATGTATTCTAATTCTGGATGCGATACATACATATTTGATTACAGAAACCAAATGGAAAGTATTCCTCTATCTCTTAACTTTCCAACGCCTTTTGAATCACCTCAATCCGATATTGGGAGCTTGAGATATGATCGATTTATTGAAGACAGTGCATGCTGGAATTTGATACAGGAATTTCATGCATGGATGATTTGGATGAGTTTGAGCCAAGGAATAGTCCTTTCATCTTCTAACAAGAGACAAACAATTGATGGTCATCTTAATTCACCAATTCAAGGCATTTAAGGTTGATGTTATCACCCATTGAAGGTCATTTATGTTCAAGAAAGGGGACATTCAAATAACCATCATTCAAAATTTAGTATTCAAAGCCTTTATCATCTTTTGAAGGCTGATCATATTCTTCAAGGGAACAAGCAATGAAGGATGATATTATTTCATTTAACCACCAAATTAAGTGATAAAACAAGCAAGGAATTTGAAGAGACAAGCTGATTTGGACATGTAGGATGTCCACATTCATCGTATGCCTTCATTTAACTTATTTTCTTCCATTTGCAAGCAAAGCAAGGCAGCCCAAGAGTCATCCACCCCTTGGACGAAATTAAGGCCAAATTCAGCTTCAAATTGTCTAGATTCATCCCCAAAATAATCTAGAATATTCATCCAACTTTGAAGATAAGAAGACAAAGCATTCAAGTGCATTTTATTGCTAAATTGATGAGAATGTTGTCATCTTTTGAGTCTTTTCATATGCTACTTGAAAATACTATAAATAGGAACCTTTGTGATCATTTGTAGACACACAATTTGATTTATGAAAATACTTTGAAAGATTACTTTCATTTTAGTTCTTGGATTAGAACTCTATCGGTTTCTTGTCGGTCTTGAAGCCTTCATCCATTTCATCTTGTTATAGCATTGGTTCCTAGCTCTACTATAACTAGTTGGTCACGTTCCACCCTCTATCACTTCGATTCCATGTTTATTATATTGTTGGTTCCTAACTCATATATAGTTAGAAGGTCACAATCTATCCTTTGAATTACTATCATTCTCCACGTCAACCACAAACATCCTTCACCATTTTCGTTACATCCATTCAACCACTATCACCACCACACTTCTTTCATTTACAATCTACTTCAACTTTCATTCTATCATTTTCATTACTTTCATACACATTTATATATACATATTTCCCTTCTTATAACTCAATTTTTACATTTTTAGTCTCCAATCAAAGCAATACGAAATTCTGGCTAGAATCACGATCGGACAACACCGTATATGATTCGAAACACATAACCGAGATCATATCATTTTACATATATCTTATTTATTTCTTATAATTCTATGTCTTAATAACGCATAAAATCAATTTTTTTGACAATACGAAACTCCTCCCACTTTAGTATTGCTTTTATGATCAAATTTAATAATAATTTTTTGTCTTTAAAGAAAGATCCAAAAAATTTCCCCCAGATTGCTCTAAAATATACCCTAACATCTGATACCCATAAATAGATAAATATTATCCTTTTTAAGCACCGAAAGAACAAGAAATTAAAAACAAATACTATCATGATCAAGGATTCAAATAGTGATATCTTAGTGGTAAAAATATTATTTAAAAGTTTGTATTAATTATAAAAATATTCATTATTAATGTAATAATGATAAGCACAACCCAACTAAAATTATTACTGGAATCGAATCTAAATAGCTGATTGTAAGAAGGAAACATATCCACGATCGATTTTACAGCGATGTAGTTCCAAATGATTGAATCTGAGCTTTAAACACCCAGAATTGCTATGCTTTTTTCATAGCGAGCAGCAACCACTCCAGTTGCTTCACCTGGATTTTGTAACTAGAAACCTTCTTAGATATATTTAATCCAAGAAACAAAAACCTACTTAATTTACAATATCGGACTCAAGAAGTAAAGAAGCAGCTTGCAAATTCAGATGATCCAGATTCTTATCATAAGCATGAACTGTGGCCGAGAATGGAGTGATTTTCTTGCATGTACAAGACACATGGGATCAAGGAGAGGTTGAAGATGAAGCTGAAGCCCCTTTGAAGATAAGAAACTTGAGTCTCTCCATTGTAAAGTAAATGAAAGTCCCCTTTGAATGTGTGAAAAAACACCCAAAATTTGAACCCACCACGCATTGCCATCCACTCCCATACTTGCCATCAAACTCCTGCCAACAAAATCATGTTTACATTCATTAAAAAACCAATACTTAAAATCAGAAATCTCGGATTAAGGAATTTATCGTTATCTTTTGAACTTTTAGCGTATTTTTGTAAAATGGTCCCTCGTTATCGGATAAGAAACGATACTATTTTGTATTCGTCCAGATTTATGTTAAAAAAAACAGAGGGAAAATCATTGCTAAATTTGAAAAAAAAACCTTTTTGATAAAACCAGCTATGGAGGTGCAGTCAAAGACGTCATAAAGATCAAGAGCTTGAGAAGCAAAAGACATGGCTTGAATCTGCATCTTCAATGGCATATCTGAGTCATCCACCAAAGCTTTTCCTTCCAACATGTTTTGATGATCTTAAAAAAAAACCAGAACTACAGCAAAATAGACGAATCTGAGGATTGGGTTTTTTTTGGCAGTGGAAATCTGGTTCTTATCTTTAAGAACCAAAAACAAAGGTTTGGATCAAATCTGATCTCTCTTCCTTCAGCCTTCTTTTTCCGCCAATGGAGGAATGAGTCATGTCTTTGAAAATCGCAAGATATTATTGAGCTGGCACGTTGCCAGTTATCTTGTCCTTGCCTACCCTTTTTCTTTTCAATTTGTTCTTTCTCTATCTTCTTTTAGAAGATAAGGATAATCTTTCCATTAATAAATAAGGATAATTAGTTAAAAAATATATATAGTATTTATAATAAAACTATATGATTTTTTGGGTTGAGTATCCTACCCGATTTTTAGGTCGAACTTGAGTCATAAAATATTGATTAATCGGGTACCCTCTAACTTAAAATTTGATTTATTATATATTTTTATTTTATATTAAATTTTTATTCACAATCTTCAAATTATTTCACTTTAATATTTTAAAATTTTAATTTTTTAAATTTTGACACTATAATATTCTAAATTTTTAATTTCTTAAATTATTTCACATTAACATTTTAAATTATTTTTTAAAATATTTATTTTAAGTTCAACACATTTAAAATTTAATTATATTTCTTTATTTTAAATTTTAATAAATTTTATTTCAGTTATGTAATTTGAATTTTTCTAATTTATGTGTGGATTATGTATATTATAAACTTTTAAATTTTAGAATTTTATATTTTTATATAATTTTTGAAAAAAATATAATTTAAATAAAAATAAAAATAAATTATGATCCAGGTACCCGTTACCCAAACTATATATATATTAACTTAAAATATTTTTATATTAACTTATTAAATATATTTTACTATTAACTTAATTTAAAAATATTTTATTTTTATTTTCATTTAAAAAAATATAATTTATTTTAATTTATTAAAAGTATTATTAAATTGAGAGAATATGTAAATAACTGTGATCAAATGTGTGAATATATCAAAATATTTAACTGTTGTTAACAATAGTTAGCTCGGGATGATCATGTCTTGTTTAAATAAAAATTTAAATGATCATATCTTATATATTTTAAAATCAGTTATTAAAAATTGACAAAACTCAAAGATAAATGATCAACCGTATAATTAAATATTAGTTAAATTATTGAAATATAGTACTCAGAATAAAAATAGAAAGGTATTATTTTAAAAAGTTAAAAACAAGTTTTGATAAAGTTGTTAGTATATCCTGGCGACTTTATTTTTCTCACTTTTAGACTTTTAGTATTAAATTAAAATGAATTCTTTAAATTAATTATATAATAAAATAAAGAAATAAGCTTAAATAATGCATTTAAGTTGCGTTGCTATTTGGACTACAAATATAAAAAAATAAATTTATAAAGATCAAAAATAAAAAAAAAATCAGATGGGTTTAAATTTGAATATTTGTATATTTATTAATAATTTAAAATTTGATTTTTTAATTACGACATAAAAACCTAAAAGATTTTATCCTAATATAAATAACTCTTTAGGGACAGTGTACGTTGATATAGTTCTTGAACAACGGTACATCACATTAATAGTTGTATTAACGCACGCTTAAGACTCCCAATAGAATTTTGGATACAAATGATCACCTCGATATATAGGATATTTATTTATTGAGTCATTGATTATTAAAAGTTATAAAATGATCATTTATTTAGTCCTTTAATTATTAAAAGTTACAAATTATCACCCGACTATTTATTATATTATAAACTTGTTATGTTCCATTAAAATTTTGATGGTTGTCTGAGTTATATGTTGACTTTATAGTTGAGATATGATAAAATGTAATCTCATAATGTCAAACGACTATTATATCTCAGTCAACATATTAACGTCCAACTTAGACGACCATTAATTTGTTAACAGAAAATGATGAGTTTGGAATATAATGAATAGTCGAGTGACAATTTTGTAAATTTTCATAGTGTAGGACTCAACAAAACAACTCTTTATAATTGAGGGATCATTTTATAATTTTTAATAGTCAAAAGAATCAATAAAATAATATCTATAGTCGGGGAACCATTTGTGTATTTTACCGTAATTTTTTTTTGGTATTTCTCTATATATATATTGGAAATGGGTGTAAATAATTGTTAACCACACAAAATGGTTGTGGTTATCCATTTTTTCTGTTTGAAAGTGTTTTATTTACGAGACTTTGTTTGAAAGTGTGTTGTTTGTGGGCATGATGAGACATGCACAATGTGCATATTTTTTTAATTTCATTTTAGATTCCTTTATCTATACTATATGCGTGCTAATTGACAATAAAATATGATGGTGCTGATAGTTTATGCAATTTATCACAAGGACAATTATTTAATTGGTGCTGATAGTTCAGGTTTTATAACGCTTGCATAAAGAAGTTTGCATTATTTTAACATTAAAGTGGATGATGCTCGTAATTTTTTAATAATTTAAATTGATTATAAAGTAATATTTATTTAGAATTATTTTTTAATTATTGGCCAAGCATAATTTCATAGATACACTTACTTGAAGCTATAATTTCTTTTTAATTATTAATACCACTTTATAGATAACAAAGGTAATATTTAGCCCAATAAGCTTATATACATTGCTTTTGTCTATTGTGGCGATGAGAATAATCTCTGCATAATTGTAACTAAAAACAAATTAATAAAGTTGTTTATACGTTACTTTTGTCTTCACAAATAGCTTCATATCGGGGTTGTCAGTAATTTGACAATTACATTGACCTAATTCAGTATTGTGCCCGATCTAATTTATCAAAGGGAAAATATATAAATAGTTCTTTTAGGACATTTGTATTTTTGTTACTCAACTTTTGAAACTTACAATATAATCATCAAATTTTTAGTTCGTTTCTAATAAGATCCATGTTATTACCTCCATTAGTTTTTTGTTAACATGAAAGTCAACCTCCCATTGACTCTCTTCTTCTTCCATTGAAAACCCTAACCTTTGGGGAGAATTTGTTTATGTTGCAAAAGATTTAAGTATGTTACTGGAGGATTAAAGCCAATGAGAATGGAGGAACCCGAAGACGATAACGAGGACAAGAAAAGCTTGAGTTCCATTATGGAGAATCTTAAGAAGAAACCCTCGTATTAATAGAATTAAAATCATGAGCCTAACAACCAAAGATATGAAACATAGACAAAATCGGTTTCTCGAGAAACATTTGCTAAAACATCCTCCAGTGAGCGGACCATTATTCCACGAGTAGAGGTATCTTCCTCACCCAATCGTCCAAGAATAAAAGTTTTCCCTGTTCCAGTCTGGCCATAGGCCATTACAGTTCCATTATAACCACCCAGAAAATTCTGCAGAACACAATGCAACATCATTATAAGCCATGTGATGCAACATTAAACGAATTTGTGGTGAAAATTAATATTTTACCCATCAAAAACACTGAAAAGCATCTGATTTGTCAGAATCATTATACTATTTGCATGGTTTTGATTCTAATGGTTAACAATAATCAGAATTCAACTTAATATGATTAATCCCAAAAAGAGAGGAAGTTATTTTGGAATACAGTTGTAAGATCAAAATTTTAAATAACGAAAAGGCAATGTTTGTAGGGATGGATGGCCATTCAAGGCTATGAGGATTTCCTATGCCATCATCAAATCCAAGTGACCATAGGATAAGAAGTATAGAGCTATGAAGCTGATCATAGGATGATTAATAATAATAATATGACTGCCAATTACATAGGTAAGATGAGAAGTATCTACACTCGAATTTTTTTTCTAGTTCAATTATATATCCAGAATTCAGACATAAAAAATATTTAAAATCAAATATCAAAAGGTTTAGCACCGTTACTTTTAAGGGCCAATTTGTATAATGAATCCAAGGTTAGACGCCTTTTAAGCAATATATATATATATACCCAACATCTTAACTAAGCTCCGATTAGGGGAGAGCAAAATTCGTTTTCATTCAAAAAAAAATTGATTTTTTTATTCGACTCAAAAAATCGATTTTTCTGATATAAATGGACTTTGAGTTATGATTTCATAAACTCGATTCAACACAATTTTTTTTAAAAATTTGAGTCCAAATATAAAATATAATTCGAATAATTTAAATATTAACTCAAATAATTTGAAATTTTTAGTAATTAGTCGATTGATTTTCAAGTTTCAGTCGAATTCCTCAACTTTATTTTATATATTTATCACATATGAAAAATTATGAAGATATATATATATTGTATATGATTATATTAAATTTTTTAGATTATAATCAAATAGTATCATAATACTATATATATTTACAATTAAATTTAAACAGAAACTTAATTAACTCGACTCGAAAATTTTTCAGATCAAATTTGAGTTATAAAATAAGACACATCAAATATATATATATATATGAATTAAAATCCAATTTTATAAACTAAAATTAAAAAAAAATTATATATTTTTAAGATAGTGTTATATGTATATACGACTCGTATATCATACGCTCCTCTGTCTCTGCCTTCTCTTTGGAAATTTTCATATTTAGCCGCCAAAAACACACATTTTGCTCAAAATTTCCCGAATGGACCCACCCTCTTCTTCTGAAACCCCCGACGACGAGTGGGAGCTCTGCAACGACGACGGCTTCATCTACAAACGCAAGAAGCGCCGCCTCGTTCTTACCGATCCAGCACCGGTGACGGCGGATCTCGAGGAAGAGGAGACACGAAGGAGGGAGTGGAAGAGGAAAAACCTTCTCAGAGTGAAGGAAAAGTACAAGAAAGAGATCGAGGAGTGGGAGATTTTGTCGGAGACTTTGAAGTCAATGCAAGATAAGGCTTCAGGGTTTCAAATCCAACAGCAAGAAAGAATGAGATCGAGAAAGACAGAAGGAACGGCGTCGTCTTCAGGGTCGGAGAGGAAGGATAACGCTTCTGGCTCTTTGGTCGATGAGCTTCTTTCGCAGGTAATTTTACCGCTTTTGTTATTTTCCCTTTAATTTTAGGGTTAGTATTAGTTGCCAAATTCAATTCTATCTATAGCAAAATCGGATTAAGCATCGATATGTATACAGCTATTGGGATTTAGGGTTTCTACCTCTAGTTTTTGAGACCATGTCGAAATGCAGGTAGAATCACAAGAAATGATAATCCGTGAT